GCGTTGAATTGTTGTACCGACATTATAATTTTTTTACGTTTTGTCTATTTCTGTTAAACGAAATAGGCTTACTCATAAGCCACTGACACCGTACCTACAGTTTATTTATGGCTTTATGTGACTAGCGACCATTCCTCAAACAACTGTTGAACTACGACCAGAGCCGATATTCACAAAGACACAAGATAATACCAAAAATTCATTGCCAGGTTTGTATTAATTCGTTTCATAAGTTTGTATCATGCATTGAGTCGATTCAAACTGTAATTTTGCGAGTACTGCTCACATGTTCTGCCACGTTTACTTATTCTTGTGTCGAACAAGTGCAGATACATATGTTGTTGTATAACTCGTGTTACACGCCTCATTTTGTAAACAATGATTTTTCGTTAATTTTCAGTTTTCTCGATTTCAAACGTCATTCGATACATGCTCCACTTGTATGTGCATAACGCATATAAACGTTGTTTTTTAGTTAATATTGGTTGGTTTAGCTAGATGATCATGTTTATTTATTTTTTCACTTTTATAGTCGTGTCACAAAATTGATACCTTGAATATCCGTACTTTCACGAGCGAAGCGAGTGAGAGTACAGCAGAATACACCGCATCTCGAGTGAAAATAACTTCCATACACAACGAAAGCCACGGGGAGGGTGTGGGGTTCTGTTATTATTACATATGTTCCATACTTGATTATTTCGTATTAAAGAAAGAACGTGCAAACCGGGATGGAATTTAGGTCGGGTAACCCCATTGCCCATTAATATGTTCCAATATAAGTGTTACGCCCTAGCAGCGCGTGTCAGTGTAGAACGCGCCCGGAGAACGCGTGTCACTGTTTGTTTGAAATTAAAATGACGTTTAGTTGGGACCACGGCAGAACCAGAACTTGAACTGGACGACTATGATACACAGTTTATGTTGAAGTTAAAAGTTCCGCCACAGAATTGTGCATTGGCAAACATGCCGTGCAACTGCGGTACTCCACTGACGGGATGACTTTCGTCGACAGCGGTTATCGCTGAGCTGCACGCAACAACTTCGTGTGTGATGTTGCTTGCTGGTCGTGGATTGACCGAGTTTTGATTACCGGTTAAAATGTTGCTCTTTTGGCGTTGGTAATTTTTATTTGGAACTGAGTAACGCCGCAACATCGCCAGCAGAAACCTGGTACAGAAACCTGTATCTCGATGCTGATGGTTGCATAGTGATCGCTGATTTTACTGCTGGTGGATCTTCTGAGAGTCCTTCAAGGTTTATAAAACTCAGTTTCCAGGTGGTCAACATGCATTAAGTTCTCCCAATCGTAGTATTCCATGTGATGTACACCTGACATGCCAAACATGTTGTTGAACGATTTGAACTGGATAAAAATAGCAGACGAAAATGTGTTTACAAGATAAAAATAGTTCGGTAGCCAATGAAAATACCATGTTCATTTGCATATCGACCGTGAAAATACCGAAAACATTATTGCATGGCTGATATGCAAATTAGTTTGGGCCAAAATAAGCGACTGCCTAAAAGTACCATTACTGTTGTTGAAATTTAATTTCACTCGGCAAGTATATTCATGTACCCCAAGGGGAAAATATCGTACTTCTAAATATTGTTTATTTCGAAAAACTGTACTCCTGAAGGGTCTACTTTGTTTGCTCTCAGGCCTCATTTGCATATGGGTTGTGAAAATACCGATTTTGATTTCAGGGACAAATCAAAATAAACTGCAGTACATATGTAATAATATTCAGTCTTCTCCAGGAATGAGTAGAATGATAGCTTTGATAACTACAGCCCTAGACTCACATGTACTGTTTTACGTGGAAAAAAATACCAACGATGTGACATATATATTATGGGTGAGACTAAAACATGTATGGATTAGATTGGCCATATTCCCGTTTCTAATTAAGATTTGGATATGCACCGCAAAAGACGAAAATTGAAAGATAGCATATTGTTTTTCCTTTAGCCTGCCACTGAACTTGAATACAAAACCTGGGAACGAAAGAATCGTTAGCGTTTGTTTATCCTACCACATCTCTTGTATACAAAACGGAGAAATGGTTATAATTTTAAAAAAACTATAGTAAATACACATATGTTTTTTTAATTTACCCACATGGCACATCAATCTACCATGAGATATTTTGTATTTCAACGAATACACTTATGCTGGTATCGGATTATTTTTTGAATCAACGCTCGCGTATACGTATGATTAAATGTTTTTTGCGCAGAAGTGAGGGGTTGGTCTGCGGCGAGTGGCGTTGGTTTCA